AAGAATAAGTTTGCCATACCGATTGTGGCTAGACACATTCGTATTCTTCCACAAGAATGGGATGGGAATATTGCTCTGAGAACAGAGGTGTATGGCTGTTCAATATAATGCAAGACTAGTAAAACAGTATATAAGGACTTACATTTTTGTTATGTTACTGTTTCTTTCATAACTTTATTTCAGCCTACAACCCGTTTTGGTTCCTTAGAGAAACAGATAACAGAGAGAAAAGGTTTCTTTTTTCTAAATAAGCTCTGCTTGTCTAAAGCAACGGGTATAGATAAGATATAAGCTAGAATCATTAGAGAATGTGCCGATCTTATTTCTTTCGCCATTTGTAAGATCTTTAATAGTTCATTGGAAGCGGGTGTGTTTACTGATGATTGGAAATATGCAAAAGTCACCCCTCTACTTAAACAAGGCGAGAGAAATGATATCAATAACTATCGCCCATTATCGGTGATATCTGTTGTGGCCAAGTTTGTCGAAAGGATAGTATCTATTTAGTGACTAATAGTCACTATTGCTCAACCAAAACATTTATTAAACAAAAGATTTGTCTTTGTACAATAAATGTTCTGATTGAGTGATAGCAACTATTAGTCACTAAATAGATACTATTAGTTAGTATTTAGTTTGTTTTTATTTCACGCTTTAATTGCATGCGCTCTATGCAGAATGGCTTTGTAATAATCACTTAACTGCAAATTAAATATAAATTAAAATTTCAAAATTTCAAAAAATCACAGATAGCTGTGGTGGGGGGTGCCCTTCTGAATTCCGGTTTCACGTGAAGCCTTAAAAAAAATTTTTTTAACTTCATTTTTTTGGTAGTTTTTAGCTAAAGAGAAAATGAGGGGGAAAACGGCAAAAAATAGCTAAAACTACACAAAAAGAAGCTAAGTTTTTACCATTTTTTCAGCATATAAGACAGCACAGATACTTGGGCAGCCTGTGACATAACCAAATACAATGTTCTGATTCTTTGTTGAGGGCATGTATATTAATGAGTTTGAGAAGATGTAATAATAGATAAACAAATATAATTAGAACGCTCAGTCTTTAAGTTCATTTATATCCTATTGTAAAAAAATTCCAATCCCTGTGTGGTCGGTTAGAGAGTATGCCATATATCCTAAAACAATTAGAGTGAGGTCATTAAACCCGTGAAATAGATATTAGACTAACACTTTTTAGTAGACCTTAATTCCATTGTTTTCTTTTGTGTCTATTTGACTATTACACGTTGACTAATAATTTTTATTTCACGGCGGGTCAAATAAATTAAATGCCTTCATTCTACTAGTCACATGTGGCTCTCAAAAATATTTAGTTATCGACTATTTAGTTGTAACACAACTCCTTTCTCCCTCCTCCCTCCTCCCCCTTGAAAAACATTTCACCTGCTGTTGGCCTACAGGCTGAACATTCCCAAACAGGTATCAAGTCAAAAACCCATTCAACTGTCTCCACGTGTTATAAATTTTTGATCTCTTTGTGTGCACCAGGGTCCCTAAAAGTGTCTCATTGGATCAAAACATTCACTGACACTCCGATGATTTAGGTTTTAGATAGACAATTAAACTCGGATCACTTAAGCCAAAAATGTTTCGTATTTTAGCCGTTGCAATTACATGCCAAGTCTTGGTCGTAGCAGCCGATACTGATAACACAGCTACAGTTACAAAAGAAGTATTTTTGGACATCAGTATTGGCGGCCGACCTGCGGGGAAAATCGTTTTGGGAGTCTTTGGAAATACAGCACCAAAAACTGTGGCTAACTTTGTGGCTTTGGCTGATCACGAGGTAGGACACATGCAATAATAAAGCCAGTACGCAATTAAAATATATAGTTTTTATGACATTTGATTTTTTTTTTGATAGGAAATTTTTGGTTTACCGATAATGTTTGGCCTAACGCAACACCTTTCATTGACATTATCAATTACGATTTTTTGAAGAAAAAAACATTTCTTACCAGTTTGAAAGTCACTGTTTTGTAATTTAAATTAAATTGACATCATTTAAACTCGATTTTTCATATTTAATTATTTTTTTGTGGGGGCTAGGGAGGGGAGAATGAGCTTATAAATCTATATAAATCAAAAATAGTATTTTATAGTTTTACTGTTCTGCCCAATTAGCTATTATTTTTCATTATTTTCAATAACGGGATAGACCTAAACTTTCAAAGCGACTTACACTAGTCGATAGTTTTCATCAAGGCACCAACATATTACAATATTCGGTGTATGAGAGCATTTTCCAAATATTACGCGATGAATATTTTCATGGACTTTTACTATTATATCCAGCGTGTCAATTCTATACCCTCAAAATCGGGACTTTAATTTAGTGGATTCAATATTTTTAGTAGCTAGAATATAGGTACGGATATAGACACTGTCCTTATTGAGTATATGAATCAAATTGTGACTTCCTTTCTAACGTTATGGATTTTTTATATGAAGCTAAATGACTCCATTCGTTGTCAAAAGCGTTTTCTCGTTTTTGTTTGTTTGATTTTTTTTTTTAATTATCTTGTTATCTTTCAATTTTTCCTTCCTACCTTCCTTCCTTCCTTCCTACCTACCTCCCTACCTACCTTCCTTCCTTCCTTCCTTCCTTCCTTCCTTCCTTCCTTCCTTCCTTCCTTCCTTCCTTCCTTGCTGCCTTCCTTCCTTCTTTCCTTTCTTGTACATGCCAATGATTTTACTCTCCCTCTTTATTGTAGTATGGTTTTGGATACAAAGGATCGACTTTCCATCGTGTGATAAAGAACTTCATGATTCAGGGAGGTGATTTTACTAATGGTGATGGAACAGGAGGTAGGCTGTACGCGTGTGTTGTGATTAATTCAATTTTTAAGATTCTCGGCCTTTCAAAGATTCAAATATATATATATATCGAGTATCATTATGGACATCATCTCTCTTTATTGCGAACACACCCAGTCATAACTATATTAGCCGCAATTTACTGCTTCTAGTAGATCTATATCATTTTATTGGATTTCAAATATATTTATGTATGGCATTTTAACATGCAAATGACTTTTTGCATTTAATATTGGGAAATCCCCTCCACTGAAGACCACTATGTTGCCGTAAAGGAGTTGCACAATGATCAGTGATGACCAACTTTATTTCATAATATCTATTCCATTAAAAATACTAATTATACAGCTTCTCATTAATCCCATATAGGTAACTGTCCAATTATTTTCTTAATTGGACAGGTCTTGTTAATATGGGATTAATTAGGCAGCTATATGATTAATAGGTAATGGGATTTTATGCTCCCCAATCAAGAAATAATTAGACTCGAAAAATTCCTCTGACTGCCAAATTGGACTCGACCTACGGCCTCATCCAATTTTGTCAGTCCTCAGAATTTTCCTCGTCCAATTATTTCACAGCATGGAGTCCTATTACATATACAAATTAGATGATTGCTCGTGCTCTTCCTTTTGCATTTAGTGGAGCAGAGGGAAACTCTCCAAGAGTAAAAGCCAATCCAGCCTTTCTCCTCCCCTCTCAATACCCTTTCTCTCATTCCACATACATCCTACTCCCCCTACGCTGACTAGCGCTATTTGACAAGGTTTTTATATGTCTTGGTTTCAAAGCTTATGTCACAACTATTTTCCAGGTAAAAGTATTTACGGACAGTACTTTGACGACGAGAACTTCGCCATCAAGCATTACGGCCCCGGATGGTTGTGCATGGCTAATGCCGGCGCCAACACTAACGGCTCTCAGTTCTACATTACTCTCGTTAAGACACCTTGGTTGGACGGCAGCCACACTTGCTTTGGGAAAGTCTTAGAGGGAATGGTAAGTAGTGCATGACGTCATTATATAATTATTAGATGAGGTTGAGCATGGTATTGCAACATCTACAAGACCGAGTGTTCGAGTTTGAGTTTACTGTTACTAGTTCTGAAGAATCACTGAAATCACGAATGTTATTCGGGTTGTTTATAGTTTGTTCATAACGAATAAATCCAATAAGATGTCGTATTCGATTATAAGTTTATTGTTACTAGATATTAGAATCACCTGAATCGAACATGAGTGAAAACTCTCCCACAACGAGCAACTTTACTCGCTTGAGGTGATTTTTTGGTCAACAAGCCGAACTCAACTTTAGGAATTTCAAACTTCCCTCCTCATTAAATACGACAGCTCTGATTGGTTCATAACTAGTTGGTTCAGTGATTTCCATCAATCATAAAGAGTTTTGACTCGACCTCACCACCTACCCTCCTAGTCTCATGATCCTTATCCCCCCGCATCCAATTCCACGAGCTATAGAAATCTATCTAAGTTATTGTGAAAATTATTATTTTACTTTGCGTTACATTTCAGGACGTTGTAAAGAAGATTGCCCAATCCCAAACAGACACCCATGACAAGCCTATAGAATCGGTAACGATTACCAATAGTGGAACCATTAACGTATCATCACCATTTGAAACTCTTAAAGACGCCGTTGTATAAATATTAAACTATTTAACCAAAACCCGTGGAATTTTAATCAACTCGTATTGTTCCGTAGTACGTACATTCCTTACTACACAATGGACCTTGATAAAAGAAAAGAACACATTTGTACACAATCGAGGGTTACACTGAGCAAAGGCGAACTCGAAATGGGAGAATAGAGTGTGCGCAACCATGTGCCTCAAAATCCCTTGACATATGAATAAAAATGAAACAGCCGCCATCTTGATTGATCTAACAAGAAAAGCTAATGAGGAATGCTTTGTTATCGTCAACCAAGATGGCGGCAATGACGTAACATCTACCTGCTCTATTGGTTGATTGATTTTTTATCTTCGTCTTCCTCAAGAAACTTTTTTCCGCATATCATGTATATTCTTAAATGTTGGCTGATTTCTGATCCAATAACAGGTTTTTAGTTAGTTTTCAGTAAGTTATAGTAGAATGGTCAATTAAAAGTGTGCCCCATGATGCCTAGCGACCAGCTCTAGCATTTGCAAGTGATTAGCATACAGCTTGCCATAACTGCTGACCTCTTGCCATTGAACACTGCAGGCGTCATCTCCAGCCTAAAGTGAGCAACACACATTATCATATCAAACAAAACAACTGTAAAAGAGAATTGAATTCAAAAGCATATTCTGAATTCAAATGTCTGAAAAACACAATATCACACTTTTTTCTGTTTTTCTGTTTTCTTTTTTCTTTTTTCTTGCGTGTGTGTATTGTGTGTATTGTGTGTAGAGGAAATACCAAACTAATGATCACTTTTTTCAAACTACCGCTACATAGCCCATAAGCTAATTAGTTCATTAAAGCAGAGCTACCTTGAGCTGGATGTCATTCAAAATGTCACCCGTTTCATCGTGAAAATTAATTGCAACCGTTTCCATCCAAGAGTTGTCAGTATTTCGTGGATCATCAACGTAGCCTTTATAAATCTACAAGAATAACAATATGGTTAGATAATCCAATATCTAAGCTTTATACGCTGTTGCAAGAGAACATTCCTGAAACTGCAATAAAACAATGGCGTCGAAATCGTACCGACTAACAATAGTTTTATTACGCAATGGCGGAAATCGTAAACCCAATATTTGGATGGTTGATTCAAGTAGATGTTTGGTTTATTAGTGAGTTGGTTGGTGGGTTGTTTGGATGGTGACTTGGTATTTGGGTGGTTGATTGATTGATTGATGGTTTAATTGCTGGGTTTGTAGCCCGGGAGGGGTACTCTTGCCCGCTAGGGTAGGGATGTGCTGTTGAGCCCTCTGAACCCTGACCCTGTTCCAGAGTAAAATCGCTGAATGGCATACCCTGTTCCAGAGCAAGATCGCTGAAAACCCTGTTCCAGATAGGAGAGAGCGTGATTTCATATACCCCCCCGGGTTTGTATGGTTGATTGATTGATTGCTAACTTTCTCCTCACACTTCATTACCTCAGTTCCCTTAGCAAAAAACTGTTTTATTCGAGCGCATTTTTCCTTTCTTTCTTCTTCGGTGTCCTCGAGTGAACACAGTGCTTCCTCACAGAACTCTCTCTTCAGCGTTTCGCTTATGGTTTCACCAACTTCGACCATTCCCTAGAAACACACACAGGCAACAAATTAAGATGGGGTTTACTTGCACAGAACCCTTTGTGGTCTACAATTTTCGAATCTTCAAGCACGAGTAGAGATTGTCCATACTCACGCCAGGTATTGCCCATTCTTTACAGTCACATCGCTGAATGGCAACGAACTCCAGAACACGCTTCCCTGCGCGTTGGAAAAATTCATTTTCCTCGTTTTTCATCCACCTAATAAAATGACAATAGCATTCTTTGCAGCCTTTGATCATTGATTTCAATTGAAGCAATAATAAGCTTATCCGCTGTAAACGTTGTCATGCTCTTTCAAAATTATCTTGGGATGTAAGTTAACAGCAAAAAACAAAATAAATAAATCGAATGTTTTCTTGATGAAATTTGAGCTACTCTTGTTTTTCTGTTTCAACCTTGCATATAAAATAATTTAAAAGGTGTTATATGCCAGGCACCGCGCATCACTGGATAAACGGTAAAAGTTCCTTTTAAAAATATCATCTGAGAAAGAGTATTAATAGGCCTTGTTCGATATCTTAAAATCCAAACATGAGGCTAAAGGAGTATGGTACTTTATATATGATGCAAACACGTGGATTACCAAATATCCCGGAGAGCCTTCGTAGCGTGCTAGAATCTTAATATCATAGGCTACTGTGAATTACGTCAAATAGCATGGTATATAATATTTAAAGCATACCTCGTTACGATGGGGTCAGCGGCATGATTCGGTCCCCATCTTCCAAGAAGTCCTCGGCCACCAAGGCCTGTTCTTCCCATGGGATTCCTGTGATAAAAACAACGTAGATTTGTATCAAAGTCCCACTGAATAATTGTAGTATAATATAGACCGGAGAGAACGCCGCGGCCATTCTCTTGACGGCAAGTAGACGACGCTAAAGCGCGGCCAAGCCTATCTTTCTATCTTCGAAAATTCTAGAATAAAAGAAATATGTGACACACTTACCGCGGTATTCCATCAAACAGATTGTAAACCCCCATGTGGCTTCTCCTGTCCACGCCATTATCCACAGTGTTAAATCTTAACTGTACCTCTTGGTAGAAAGGGCTTGAAAAGAAGATATTTTGTTGCTAATTTTAGTTGATGATGATTTTTAAGTGTCTGTCCTCTTATTGACGATAATTTGCGTCATCACATTGTCAAAGTGATGTGGATTCGCCAGTTCACGGCACGAACACGGTCGTGACACAGCAAGGGATACGCCAGACCAATCACATTGCACGAAAATTTACTCTCCATCCAATCAAATACCCGGAACACGGTATAAACACGGCGCGGACACGGTCACGCCAAGAGCACGGCACTTTTAGACCAATCATATTGCGCGTGAAAAAAATCAGCCAATTAAAATTCTAGAAAGTATCACGGTCACGGCACGTCACGCTTACGCACTGAGCTTTTCACAGTCATACGAAAACTGCAATAAAYAATACAAGTACTTACTCTGATATATCGACATCAGCCCAGTTAGGGCTGACACTAACAGAGGGATCCGAATGATTGACAGGGAAATAACCAGGAAATGGCATCTAACAAAGAAAATACAATAGCTTTACTTAATGATGTTGATTATGATACTGATATCACTTTTTAATAAACTGGGTCTTAGTTTCCCTCCAATAAACTGGGTCTTAGTTTCCCTCCGATAAACTGGGTCTTACTTTCCCTC